AAGGTTATAAAGGAAGAAGTAGAGAAACTCCTACAAGCTGGCTTCGTCAGGAGAGTTGATTACTGTGAATGGGTGGCTAACCCAGTGTTGGTTAAGAAGGCAAATGGTAAATAACGAATGTGCATCGATTACACTAATCTCAACCAGGCTTGTCCCAAAGACTGGTTATCTGATGCCAAGCATTGGCAAACTAGTTGAAGCGGCTTCTAGAAACGAGAGATTAAGTCTCTTAGATGCATTTTCTCGTTACCACCAAGTGCCGATGGCTCTGGAAGATGAAGAGAAAACCTCGTTCTATGCAGGTGATGAAATTTATTAGGTTAAATACCCTTTTTGGTCCCTCTACTATAGGAAAAAGCCCATTTTTGGTCCTTGTATCGAAAAAATCCCTTTTTTGATCCCTAAATTTTAAAATCCGGCCCCTTTTTAGTCCCTCCGTTAAAATTTTGCTGACTTGTCATGTTAATTAACGGAATTATTTCATTATTTTCTATATAAACAATATTATAAATGACATGGAAATTACATGTACGATTATAAATGACATTGACAAAATTATAAATACACGTAAACACTTTATGTGAATATTATGTGTCACTTATACTAATTAAAAATTTTACTTTATTAATGTATGAATTAAGCATAATTAATTTTAATTTTCTCATCTTCTTCTTTCTCCTCATCCTTACCTTCCTCTTCTTCTTCACCCTTCTCTTCTTCTTCAGAATCATCTTCATCATCTTGGGTTCCTCGTGGAACCCAGTGCGGGGTTTCATGAGGAACCCAGAGCCAGTGCGGGGTTCACAAGGAACCTAGATCTGGGTTCCTCATGAAACCCAGCACTGGGTTAGCGAGGAACTCAGAACTGGGTTTCTCACAAACCTAGAGCTGGGTTTCGAGAGGAACCCAGACCTGGGTTCCTCTTGAAACCCAGACCTGGGTTCCTCTTGAAACCCAGACCTGGGTTCCTCTTGAAACCCAGACCTGGGTTCCTCTTGAAACCCAGCATTGGGTCTGCACGGAACCCAACTGGCTTGGATCAAAACGGGGAGGACGGGGAGGACCACGGCAATCTCTG